AATTATGAGTTATTACATTTAATCATGTTTTAATTAAAAGCTGTGTATTATGTTACATTTATTTTTAGCAAAAATTACGACTGATAACACATCTAGAAATATATATAGAAAATGACTTAGATGACTAAATTTTATATATTAAATGGCAATTATTGTTATTATTTTTTTCTAAACCCCATGCTAAACGCCTCATAAATAAACAAGTGCTCATTTCAATTCAATATCTATTAAATTGATTCAATTTCTAAATTTAGCACTGATTTTAAAATTATTAATTTAAATAACTATGACAGATAGCACAACTACAACAACATTTGGATGACTAAATTGTATATATTAAAGGCAATAATTGTTATTCTTTTTTCTATCCCCCATACTAAACGCCTGATGAAAAACAAGTGCTCGTTTCACTTCAGTATATCCACCAAAGGGATTTAAATGCTTCCAAAAACTTACCTCTGCATCCAAAATGTAGTTATTTCCCTCTTTAAAAACTCTGTCAGCGAAATGAAAGTGAATTTCCCCGAGTCTCCTCAGTAAGACGAGGAAAACAGAAGTAGTGAGTTACTTCACAGCCCTCTGCTTTTGTAGACTTCTTTCGTCATCGACACCCTGCACCGTGCACACGCCCACGCCTCATTAATATGCAGCGCACAACAAGAAGGGATACAGCGAATTATTTATATTATTTATTTAAATTGTTCATTAATTGTAATTTATTAACGTCTACTCCTAGCCCACACTTTAAACCCAATCCTTACAGTAATGTAAAAATATTGTTGAGTTGTTGTTGTACATTGTTGTACAAAAATTATGTTTTTTTATTGGTGTGGCGCATCCACAGCTGTATCCCATCGAGACTTTAGCGTTAATTAATCATTATTTATATTTTGACATGTTTACAGAAAATCTTTTGCTATTTTAAACTTAACTCAATGTTATTTATGTGTATTCTTTCCACAGTTATGCTTTGGTAATTAAGCAAAATACACAAAAAACCTCTGAAGATTTCTGCAAACAAATACATGTGCAACATTTACGTAAACACTCACCGTCCACTTTATTAGGTACACCTGTCCAACTGCTCCTCATATGTCTAATCAGCCAATCACATGGAGCGACTCAATGCATTTAGGCATAAAGACATGGTTAAGATGATCTGCTGCAGTTCAACCCGAGCTTCAGAATGGAGAAGAAATGTGATTTAAGTGACTTGGAATGTGGCATAGATGTTGGTGCCAGATAGGCTGGTCTGAGTATTTCAGAAACTGCCGATCTACTAGAATTTTCACGCACAACCATCTCATGGGTTTACAGAGAACGGTCAGAAAAAGAAAAAATATGCAGTGAGTGGCAGTTCTGTGGGCGCAAATACAATGTTGATGCCAGAGGTCTGGTTTCTTGAACATGACAATGAGTTCACTGTACTCTAAAGGCTTCCATAGTCACCAGAGCTCAATCCAATAGAGCACCTTTGGGATGTGATGGAGATTAGCATCATGGATGTTCTGACAGCAAAAGGGGTCCAACTTGATACTAGTAAGGTGTACCTATAAAGTGAGAGTACATATTAAGTAAATACATTACATATACATGTATAGACATACAAATATTGATAATTAAGACACAAACATAGAAATGTAACAATAACTTAAATTGCCCCAAGTATAAAAGGACTCTATGCCATTGTGTTTGAATAGGGTTTGCTTAATCAATCATTAATATCAACAAACAAACTGTCAGTCAGCAGATGATCCTTTTGTACATGATTTTACCCTAGAGGCATCTGGTATTTGTTTACAAAGGTTTAACCAGAGTTTCACAGCTCTCCTTGATTAATCTTCAAAGGTATTACTGGAATAAACTGACTTGAGGTGATCCACGTAAACCGGTTCATACTTAGTTCAATTGTAAAAGCAAGTGAAAGCAAAAGCCTAGGCGTGAAAATACCTGAATGAAACGATAACATCACATGACATTTACTAAACACAAGAAACATAGTAAACATACCCTGTTAACAATTTCCTGTAGAATTTAGAGAGAGAGAAAATTTTAGAGTATGTAAATAAAAATGTTCAACATTTTGCATTGTTGGATTGCTTTTGAAACATTTAATGGAACTAAAATTTAACATGTAAATGCAGTTTAATATATTTTTGCAAAACTTAAGGACAAAAAATGTTTTCAGTTAACATTAGCAAGGTCATAGAGTCAAATCTAATTAAAATAAACAAGATTAAGCCAGTAAATCTAGCAAATATTGTTGTTACTTTTGACCCAGCCGTGTGTTACTTTCCTCCCTGCCTGTTTAAAGTGAAGTTATATTGAAGTTGTTCTACACTGATACACAATAACACCAGATTATGATAGACCACTATTGTGAGTTAGTAACCACTGCTAAAATATATTTTTGCTAAAAACATTACCTTTTAAAATCATTTTTTTTTTTAATGAAAAACGATGGGGCAACATGGTGGCGCAGTGGGTAGCATGAATGCCTCACAGCAAGATGGTTGCTGGTTGGAGCTCCTGGCTGGATCAGTTGACATTTCTGTGTGGAGTTTGTATGTTCTCCTCGTGTTGGTGTGGGTTTCCTCTAGGTGCTCCGGTTTCCCCCACAGTACAAACACATGCGCCATAGGTGATTTGAATAAGCTAAATTGGCTGTAGTGTATGTGTGTGAATGAGTGTTTGGGTGTTTCCCAGTATTAACTGTAATATGAACTGTACTTACGACAGGTTTTAAAGTTGCAATGTGAAAATTACTGTAAAGATAAAGAGATAATAATAAAGATAATAAAAGATAACAATAAAGATATAAAATACTGAAAATACATATACAGCAATAAATAATGCAAATACAGTAGTGGAGAAAAAGTATATTTTAGATAAAAACTAAACATTTTTATATAGATTATACATTATTTTCCTCTATTTTTTTAAGGCTCAATCCCTCATGTGGGCTCAGGTTTCTTTTCTCTGATGCTTTTATCCTAGTAAAAAAGCATATAAGAAATGAACGATATCGGGAAATCCATCCCATCACCCACGCGCAACTTGTCAGAGCATGTGCATTAACAGTCATGTTGAGTGGGATGCGGTAGTTCTGGTTCTTCTCAGACCTACCAGACATTTCCGTCCACTGCTGTTGGGTTTCGAACCGCCAGAAACCTCAAAGGAAGCATCAAAACAAAGCGGGCTGAAAACAAGCATTGCTTTCCCATTCATCTGTTCATTTCTGATGAGCTTCGTCTCCATAATGAACTAGACCGCAGCAGCCTGTCGGATTCTGCACGCATGTGCTAATGCTAATGCTAATTAATGTGGTAAATTGGATTGTGTGGGACATGCAGCTGGAAGAACCGGGCGATTAGAGGAGGAAATGGACACATGTTGCACAACTGACCATTACCTCCTTTCTAAATTTATCCAGACATGACCTCTAATGGTGGTTTTGGGACAGATTCAATAGCTTATACGGTAAAAAGCTCGCTGGAAACGAGGGCATTTTATAAGGAATTTCCTCTACTGTTTAGAGTCTTGACTTGATTTAGATGAGGGGAGAAAAGGGTCTGCTGTTTCTTGAGAATTAAAATGCACTCAATGGGGTCAGCAAGTCACAGTGATTCACTTTATTCTAAAAAAAAATTCTTATGATTTCGACCTGAGCAGAATTTCTAGGGAACTTAAGAAGCATACATGGTTTCTTTTTGTTTACTTTCTTGATTCTGTCAGGAATTCTGTTAAAGAGTTCTATGATTAAATACTTATTCATTTATCTTTGGTGATTAAAATTACAATAAACTTTAACCCTTCCTGCTGAAAAATCCAACTTAAACCATCCTAGGTGGTTGGCTGGTTTTAGTGACCAGCTAAAACCAACCTGACCAGCCTGTTTTAAGCTGGATATAGCTGGTTTTGACTGGTCATCTCCCTGACCAGCTAAGACTAGGCTGCATGGCTGGAAACCAATGGCCAAAACCCCTCTAAAACCAGGCTGGTTGACAAACTAAAACCAGCCAACCATCCTAGGCTGGTTTATACTGGATTTTTTTCAACCAGGCAGAAACAAGACCTGTTAACAGGTTAAAAATACTCCTAGTGTGAGCTCTGACGTTGTTAATCAGTTTAAATGATAGAATCAAGTGTACATTTTGCATCTCCAAGATATGCCCTCTATATATTACTCGTATTATATACAACTTTAATGAAGTGAAGTTTCATAAATTAATTTCGAGAGGAGCACGTGATATGATTGTGCACCGCTGGCCACTCATCCGTAATCAGTAATAATCCAATCAGAATGATCCTAGCTTAGTATAAATGGATCACTTTCTCCTCATTGCACTATCTTCATTTTGGAAGAATCCCCCCTTCCACCCCATCTCCTCCTTTTTCTCCCCTTCTAAAGGGGGAGCGATCGAGACCTACCTGATCTCGGTTCTCCTGATATGCTTCTAGACCGGGCGGGAGCCCTGGGCTTAAATATCTCCGAGCTCAGGGTTCTCTCCCGGGACAACATGCCAAACCTGCTATAAGTGCCAAGCATATCTAAGTGGGAACTCTTGAAACCATTTTAAATATGAAGCTACAATCCCAATAGTATCTGATGCAGCCTTTATGATGCAAGCTGAGACTGCATCGCTCAGCGATGCAATGTCAAACACAATGCACTCAAACGGAGCTAATGACGTCACTGTGACGGGTAGGGTTAGGGGTAGGGTTAGGTGAGCCCATTAAAAAGCATTGGATGCAGCCCAGATTGCACTGCACCAGGTCTGCAGCCAGACCCCTCTCTACAATCCAACATAAATTTATATATATATATAAATATATATATATATATATATATATATATATATATATATATATATATATATATATATATATATATATATATATATATAGACAGAGAGACAGCGAGGTTGAGAAATGATAGATATTGAGATTGTTTTTTAGTGTTTTTTAGATATCTATGTCCAAAAGTCTCTAAATAGCGCAGGAGGAAGATATGAACGTATGTATATATGTATATATATATCTCTTTAAATCTCTAAAATACTAGAGAATAAAAAA